GTTACTGATTTATCGCAGATTTCGTATTTCTCTAAATTACCGTTATAGGGGATGTGGGCGTGGTTATTGTCCGATTTTAAAAAATTTCAGCCGTTTGATATGCTTTACCAGGACCAACAACTGTGCCAAGTTTAGGAGAAATTGGTGAAGCGGTTACCGAGATATACACATGTAATCATAAGTGGGCGGGGGCACGCCCATTTTCCAAAAATATATAATATTCGTATTTTTCGTCTAAAAGTCATTGAATCGCCCCATATGCATGTACGTTTCGTCACCTGAAATGCAAAAAGACGTAACAAACATCGTCGCTGAAATACAAAAAGTCGTAACTAATAAAAAAATTCAAAATTCAGTTTTTGATTGGTATGATGGATTTCATCGAATTACAACTCCTACAAAAAATATTAGTCAGGACTTTTTCCATTTCAATTACGTTGTTGTTACGTCTTTTTGCATTTCGAGTGACGATATGTATCTTTAAATAATGCCGCGCATTTTTAATTTCTCACCTTTTAAATGTCCTTTAGCAGATTAATTCCATACATATGTATTTGCGACAAATTTCTTAGTGCATTAGTTCTAAACCTTCACTCATTAAACTATTTTAGATATAAACCTGGTAACGGATGGGATTTTGTAAGCAGCATGTCAACAGCACGTTCTGGCGCCGGCGCAGTGGTTTTAAATGGCAAAATTTTTGTTATGGGCGGCTGGGATGGAAGTTACCAATTAAAATCTGTTGAATGTTACGAACCATCTTCGGACTCTTGGACCCAGTGTGCGTCTATGAACGAAGGCCATAGTTTGCCTGGGGTGAGTGTGTCAATGCTAGGCTTATATATACATAAGTAGATTATTCTCATTTTCGAGCTTAACCCCCTAAACTGTAATTAGAAAAAAATTCGTTCCCCGTTAATCCGTAATTATAAAATAGTCTCAGATTAAACTGATAACTTTTCGTTGTCCAACCTAGTTTTATCCACGTTGCAGCGAGACAAAGTTGGCGCCTTCCGCGGACCGCTAGTCCTGTCTTTCTGTTTTACCTAAAAGAAGATAAACGTACCTAAAAAGTAAATAAGTATCAGAGCTGTAAAATGATTGAATCAACATAGTCTGCATTCACTCGGCATTCTTTTCAAAATGTTGATTGTTGGTTTGTATAAATAAAAACTTCATTCCT